CCCGCCAGCTGAAGCTTGGTTTCAGTTGTGGTTTTTGTGTGGAAGACTTCGTTTCGGCCCGGCTTTAGACTGGCAAGCTTCATCAAGTCTATTCAGAATGGTTTGCCTTTCATGTCAAGAATCCTGTTGTCGTGGCTGTAAAGCCTTTTCCAACTTTGGCCAGTAGCATCAACCTGCTTTGCAGTCAAGTGAAGAGTTTTTTCAAGGAGTCAACAGAGAAATCATTTGATGGGGATTCCGGTCCTACTGAAAGAGTCCTGTAGAGGACCCTTTGGCCAAGACTGAGAAAGAGGTTGCTGCAGAACCAGTAGAGGCTCCCATCCCAACGGCTGAAGCTTGCTTTCACTTTAGTCTGTTTGCTTTAGACTGGAAACCTGCTGGCATCTTTTTGTGTAGAAGTCCACGGATATCCATTCCAACACAGCAAAGAGTGCTGTGGAGGACCTGGTCCGAGACGGTGCTAGCAGTTAGCGGAGGGCCCTTGAAGGAGACTCCCATCCCGCCAGCTAAGTCTTGGCTAATTTTTCTTGGTGGCTGTCGTGCTAAGAATGCAGCTCTTGTTCTGGCTTTGTGCTTGTTGCATGAAGTCTGATTCATAGTCATAGTCAGTCAGCCCAACAGATCGCTTTCAGTGACTCGAACAATTCCCTTGAGGAATTCATGGAGAATGCGCCTAGTGGTGGATCTGTTCGCACAGATTTTGCACCAAAAAGCAAGAAAGAGGATGCGCCGCCTGGAGTTACCAACCTGCAACTAAGGAGAGTCTATTTGTGCCAGTTGAGGAGCTGAGACTTCCCCTTTCTTTCGAAGTTCACACAACCTCACGCAGTGGAACCATTTTGTAGATGCAAACTTCCTCTCTCAAACAGTTGGTTGTTTGATGCAGTGAAACTGTCAGTTTCTTCACCGAGGACTTGAAGACAGATTCGGAATCTCACAAGCCCCATGAGGCGAACATACCATTTCTTGGAATTCCAAGGATTGCTTTTTGGCTGCGACCTAGCCTGATCCGAAGGGTCTATAATGAAAGGAGGTTTGTTTCTTTCCATCCTCCGCAAGGGAGGAAGGTCTATATAACTGAAATTGCATATATATATATATATCTTGAACTACTCCGGATGCATTTTCTTTCATGATTCTTTGTTGCAGCTAGATTCTGAATCTTCTACATCCCAGCTTCTCACATCACAAGTCACTTGTCTATTGACGTCCTAAGGAGATCCTTCCACCTGACCAGCCAGCTGATGCAGGTGGGAGTGGATCAGTGAGACGTTTATACAGTAGTTAGAATAAGAGGTTGAACGTCTACACAATGCAGAGCAGCATTGCTGAGTGCTTTTCATTTTTCGTTTGTTCTCAAGCGGCAGCAAGTGGAGACGACAATGCAGCTTGTGCCCAATCATTTCCCCTGAGTTCCTGAGTTGTGTTTGTTCTGTTGGATTGCCATGCAAACCATACACGCTCTTTATGTCTCTTGTTGCTCTGTACAGAATTGATCAATTCAACCGGTCCGGTTGCCATTGTGTTTGCGAGGGTTTCTTTCACCAAACTGATATATAGACCACATGGGGTCTTTTGGATGCTGTTGGTCTCAGGCCTCGGTTAGGCAGGCAAGATGAAGAGGCAAGCATCATGGCCACATGATGGCCAATGGGACCTGAGGTGAGCAGGTTGGCTATTTTTTCTTCAATCTTTCTCAGAATCAATGAGAACAAGTTGAGGTTCAACACCTGCATACAGAGTCTTTATCAACATGAGTTGACTCATTTTTATACTTATATACAAGTAGTTCCCGGGCAAGCCGGCGGCGGAAGTTTCCAAACGAATAAACCTATAGGAAATGGGCATGTGGCAGGCTGATTCGCCGAGCTGCGATGTTCTTTGACAAAACAAGTTGGACCCGACCAATGGAGCGAAAGCGAAGCAACCACCGTCAACTGTCTCGCAGAAAAAAAAAAGTTGTTCGTGCATTTTGCAAAATACAGACTAGAGATGACTCAGCCGCGTAGTAAAGGTACTACAAAGTCGCCAGTTCTCATCTTCCAGCTCGCCAGATACTCCGCGTACTAAAGTTGTACTACAAAGTCACCAGTTCGCA